ATGTCCTGCGTTGATGTCATGTACCAACTTTATCCGCCGTATCTCACCTCCTTTAAAGGAAGCGGTTCTGAAGATGCCGCGGCAGCCGCCACGGCAGCCGCTGCTGCCGCCGCTGCAGCAGCAGCACAGGTAAGAAAAAAAGATTACCTACACAAATCTATAGGTGTATCTATATCCGTATTTATATATGCCGTCACACAAGCACACACGCACGCACGCAGGCAGACACACACGTTTATATGCAATTATATTGTTTAAAATTTGCAGCACTTATGAAAGGAGAGGCGGTCAGGTTGGGTGGTTTTACGACATGTCAACCGGTGTTGTGGTGTTTCCTGCCACATTTTCAGTGGCACACCTAGAGAAGATCGAACTCATTTACCAAGTAGTAATGACCAACCAGAATGGCGCTGACAACTATCACTGCAATCTAAGGCCCCATTTGTTGATGTCGAGTACCCAATATCGGGAATAAAACGTTTGTTTGTAGATAGACAATGCGTACATAGAAAACAACACTGCATGTTGAGTGTCAGTTCCACACCAAAAGTGTTGGCTAAATCATTTCACAACATATCTCTCCCTCTCTCTTTCTACCTCTCTTTTTCTCTCTCTCTATATATATATGTGTGTGTGCGTGTGTAAATGTATATATGCATATGTATGTATATATGTATGTATGTATTTATGTATGTATCTATATACATATCTGTATATATATATATATATATATATATATATATATATATATATTATATTTAATAAAAAAAATAATATGTGCAAAACCAGGGTAAATTATTATAATCTATCTATCTATCTATCTATCTATCTATCTATCTATCTATCTATATATATATATATATATATATATATATATATATATATTATGCACGTATAAATTCAGTTAGAGCGTTGTAGATGACGTGACATTTATGACATTTATCAAATCGTTATCAAATCTATTCGTGTGCATATAGATCACGATATCACAAATAATCACATTTAGTAGATAAATCCAAATAATCATACATAACTAAATTCAAAGACATTCTAGAAGCCATTATACATGTACACACACACACACACACACACACACACATATATATATATATATATATATATATATATATATATATATATATATATACAAAAGGAGATGTACAAATACTTTTGAAGTGATTCTTTGTGGTACATAGTAATTTTTAGCAACCATCTTGGAACAATGGACTGTACACCCTCTCTAACATCAAACGGAAAAAATTAATTAAAAAAATCTAAATAAAAAATTAATAAAATCGCTCTTGTTCGTCAGACGTAACGAAAGATATTTAAAATAAAGTTTGCTAGCCATATATACATTAATATATATATTTATATATATATATATATATGTGGAAGTGCATATGTACATGTAGATATATCTAAATGTAAATACATACCTAAATATCTATTCTTTATATATATATATATATATATATATATATATATATATATATATATATATATGCATTTGTATATATATATAATATATATATTATTTTGCGTTATCTATTAAAATTGTCTTCTATATATATAATATTTTGATTTGCGTTATCTTGTCTTCTATTGATATTATTTGATATATGATATATATATATATATATATATATATATATATATATATATATATATATATATATATATCCACCTATCTATCTATCTATCTATGTGTCTGTCTATCAGTTCATGCATATATTGATCTTATACTATACCTATTTTTTAAAATTTGAATTAAATGTTTTAATTACATTAAATTTAAATATAAAGGGAACGCTCCTGTGTAAGACTCCTTCTGGATTTTGGTAACTTTTTTTTTTTATTTATTAAGAATTGCTTTCAGTTTTCCATCTAGACATATTGTTAAATTTCTCAGAATAATAAAGTCGGACTGACGAAACTCGTCGGTTATGGCTAAGAAATATATTTTCCAATTGTATTCTTTTTATCTAAATTGTCTTATCATCAGAATTATTCTGAAAAATATAACACATATATATATATATATATATATATATATATATATATATATATATATATATATATTAAATATAGGATCTTATAACATGCATATATCATAAATTTGAATATATATATATATTACATATAGTGATCTTATAACATGCATATATAATAAATTTGAATATTTCTATGCATAAAATAAAGACAACACTTGTCTATATTATTTAATGAAACGTGTATATATATATATATATATATTATATATAGTTATCTTATAACATGCATATATTATAAATTTGAATATATATATATATATAATAATATATATATAATTTTTTTATATATATATATAATAATATATATATATAATTTTTTTTTTTTTTTCTGAAAATATACATGTATGGAAATTTTTTATATATATTTTGCATATGTATATATATTTTCCACTAATATTATCTCCATTCATCTATCTATCTATCTATCTATCTATATATATATATAT